CTTTAATCTTTCCCTGTATTATGCATCTCAAAATTTCATATTTTGGTCTTCTCATCACGTGGCCTAGGTACTCCAGTTTTCTGGTTTGTATAGTGGTAATTAGTTCTGATTCTTCTTTCTGTTTCTATTCTTAATACTCTGCGGTATAACCTCGATTTTTTTTAAATTGTATTTTTTTTTTGTCAAAGTCTCAGCTCCATATAATAATATTGAAAATATATAACAGCGAATGTACGTAGTCTGTTCTCCAAATTTAGATTTTTGCACGTTAGGAGTGGCTTCGTTAGTGTAAATTCTGATCTGGCAATCTCTATTTGCTTCTCTACAAGCTGTATTACTGTATGGCTGCGAAACGTGGAAGATATCAGCACCCATAGTACACCAATTACAAGTTTTCATCAATAGAGCGTTACGAAAAATCCTTCGTATATTTTGGCCTAACCGAATCTCCAATGAAAATTTATGGAACCAAAGCAACCAAGAAAATGTCATAAAGCAAATAAGGCGAAGAAAATGGAGATGGCTGAGCCACACACTCCGTAGACCGCCAAATAACATTGCCAGGACAGCGCTGGATTGGAATCCCAAGGCCGACGGAAAGTAGGCAGACCTAAGGGAACTTGGAGAAGGACAATACTGGACGAAGGGAGAAAAATGGGAAAATCCTGGCTTGAAATCAAAGCACTAGCCAGAAATAGAGTTCGCTGGAGACACTTTGTGGGAAGCCCTATGTTCCTCTTAGGAATCGTGGGACTATATATATATATATATATATATATATATATATATATATATATATATATATATATATATATATATATATATATATATATATATCTATGTTTATTTCTGAAGTATGATCATTGGTTTAGTTGATCAAAGTTCGCAATTACTAATATTATTCTACTTTTGTAATTATTATGTACTTCGTTCTTTTAGCGTTTAGAGTAATTCCCATTTTAGCCCTATTTATACTTAAGCTTTCGACAAGATGGAAATCTTCTATACTCGTTGCTATGATGATGCAGTCAAAGAAGATCTAGAGGAAATGGGAAAATGGGAGTGCGATAATGGTAATTACTGACACAGTACCGATTAACCTGGAAGGCAATAGTGAACGCGGCAAAGACTCACGAAGAGTTGTAGCGCTTTTGATGATGATGATGATGACGTTGCTATGATCACAGTGTCATCTGCATTTCGTAAGTTGTTAATTATTTTCCGTTAACGGTAACTCCCGCTTTAATATTATTGGGCATGCTTTTAAAAATTTCTTCAGAATGTAAGTTAAACAAAATTCGCGATAAAACAAATTCCTGTCTAACTCTGTAGATCTATTTTCTTTGGAGTTTTTGATACTATATTTGATTTCATTTATCGTGATCTTCTGTCTCTCTAAAGGATTTAATTCTTATATTTTCTGCATTTCACCTCTTTCATATTGGAAAAGTTCTCTAACGTACTCCTCCCATCGTCTTAATTTCTCTGGTAAATTTTTGTATGTCTTGCTGTCTATTTCGACTCATTTCACTTACTTCTCATATTTTTCTGTGCATATTTCTCATATCATATTTTGTTTCTAGTTCTTCTATATCTTTACATTGTTTCATCAAATAGATTTCTTTAGCTGTTTTGATTTTTCCCTTAATCATTAGTTGATTTCTTTATAGTTCTGTAGATCTTTCCTTTATATTTCCTTTTTTCTTTCATCTCTAATAGTATTTTTTCTGTCATTCACTGTTTTTTAGCATCTGCCTATGTTGTATCAAACTGATGACTAGCACTGTATACCTTTTATAAAGGATTTTTAAATTAACAATATATTACTTCCATTTAGATTTATTTATGTAATGATTTAATGGCTGTTAAATATTCTTGTCTCGACTTTTGATAAAAAGTGGTCAATTTGGTTGACTATTACCATTCAGTGATGTTTATTTTCGATAAATGTCTCTTTCTTTCTAAATTGGGTACTTTTGTCCACAATTCGTTTTTTCAATGCAAAGCCTATTAGCCTTTTCTAATTTTTGTTTCTTTCATTATGATCAGTATGCCTACCTATGATCTATTAAAATCGGTGGATCTTTCTATTTCCCGTTTTAGCATTACAATCTACCATTTCTAATCTTATCTCATACTGTGGTAATTTTTCGAATTCGTTGTCTATTTATTTATAATATACCATAAACCTTTTCTAATTCTCTTTACATCTGAATGTGTGTGTATGTTTATTATAAGTATTTTTTCCTATTAGTTGGAGCAAACATACGAGTATAATGTCTTATAATATATAATTAGATAATAATAGTGCTAGCCCTATCGTACAATTGACTATGAATCAAGTTCTTAATTTTTTTTTGTTCCCAACAGTTTTGAAGAAAGTTTTATTTTAGATGTATATTTAAATTTTCTTATTTTTTTAACTGATTCTTTTAATCTGCCTTAATAAATTTTTCTTTTCCATATTTTATATCATTTTGTTATATTTCTTTTGTTATATTTCTATTTTGTTTGTATTTTTGTCTGATTTTTGTGCTTAAGTCACTATTTTAATCTTTCTTATCAGCTATAAATTCGCCGTTAGTTTTTTGAGGGCCCCTCATTGGTTTTTGGATTTCTTTCGGGTAGTTGATTTTTCTTTCTTTTATTTCATTTTCCTTTTATTAACTTTGGTAAAACCATTTTATTAAGATCGCGACATTAGTCGTACTTTGCGCTAGAAGTTTTTCAACTTGTTTCAGACTTTCCTTTTTCACTTTTTATCCCCTTTTGTTCGTCAAGGCTTGTTAGGTGTAGCAGATCTTCTTTGTTAATAGCATTAAGCAAAAAACATTATGCAATAGCTTATTGTTATTTTTTTAAAAGATTGCATGATGTTAAAAGAAGAAGAAATTATTACCTTTTAATAATTTTTATTATACCTATATATCACGTATGATATAAATTCAATATATTGCCTAAGATTTGCTTACCAATAAACTAAAAATATAGTATCTACAAATTAGATACGCGAGCCGATTCAGTACTAAAGATAAGAGAGAATGTTCTAATTTATTGTGAAGCATGTTCATAATTTCTTTAAATTATTCCCTTTAGTAAATTATTTTCACGCCGCCCATGCCTGCATATCTTCTAAATAACCGACACTTTCGAGCGATTCGTTACGCCTTTTTTTTAACAAAGAAATAACTTCGGCAAATGTTCTTCTTTGCTTTTTATCTTGTTTTGGTACATAAAAATCTTCCTAATAACAAAGGAAAAAGGTCTCTATTGTGAACTCTCCGAGCTACCTTCTCAGAAAAACAGAAGAGTTGTTTTACGTAGAAAGTTACTTTCCATTGGTAGAAGCTACGAAAATGAACCCCAGTAGCCCAGCAATTTAATGTCAATTTCGCATGGCATCCTTCAGTCAATATCCCCTCCCAATTTTCAACCTTCGCTTGTCTAAACCCTTCTAAGTTCACAATCCGATGTTCATTTTCCAAGTTGGTTCCTGTAGAAAGCGGTCTTATCTTCGACAATCGGCGACATCTTCCAATTGAAGTCACTTCTGTTTGCCGTTCGGATCTTACACCATTCAGATTTTACCGTTTAGATTTTGCCGTTTCATATTCTACTCTACACCGTTCAGATTCTACATTGTTCGTATTCTACACCGTTCTTGTACTACTCTTCTCTCACCGTTTTGTACTACCTTGGTCTAGCTGTCTCCTTTTGTCGGCCTACGACAATCTAAGGGAGTACGTTAAGAAGACCGCAATTCCTTGTGGCTATCATCCCAACTACCTGTTATACGGACCGAAGTCAAATGCCTTATTGAGGGCGTAATACCATTCTTTAAATACACCTGTTTTGTGAGTACCTATAACTTTTATTGACTAAACAGTGATAACGAAATCTTTAGAAGTTGATTTATGACTCCAGTTCAGTGTACCTTCTTATTTATGGAGGTTTAGTTTGACTGAATGTTTTATAAAAATACAGGATAATATATACGTATAAATAACGGACAATTTATTTTATATGTAGATTATATTTCTGATAAATTTTATTCTTAGATTTAAAGTATCACGATCAAAAACCTAGTAATTTCATATTCAGGTATCCTCAAGGCGTAAAATTCACTTGCTTGCCAAATATTAACGTAGATATAATTATAATGTTCCTTGCTTTTTTCTAATTCTTGAGAATACTATATTATTTATAACTATTTTTCAAAGAGATATTTTTTGTTTGTAATTAATAATAAGTTGCGCAATAATCATGCCATTTAACTATCCAATAAAATTTGGTATAGTACATTTACTTTAACAAATATACCTAAATATAATTTTGTTAAAGATCTATTTGCTTTTTATTTCTTTTATATTTTTGTATATAATTTGAATTTATATTTATATTATTATATTTTTGTGTTTCTCTTCCAGGCATTTTTTATTGAATTATATTATTATTTGTTTGATCGTATATTTTGTGTATATGTGTCGAAATATTAGGAGTGTACCGCATAATTCCGATACCTTTTCTCTCACGGTTTACTTTATCCTCGCGTGAGTTCTCTAGCTGTACCTTACCTTTCTCGTCATCCTTTTCTATGTGCCTTAAGGTTTCCCTGTTCCTCTAAAAATAGGGTGGTGCCCAAATAACTTTTCTTCTCTTATCTCTTATCTTCTCTTCTAACTTCTTGTCTCTGTGTTGTAAGTACTTTTTTAATTGATCCGTGATATTTGAGGTGTAACAAGAACCCCGACCAAGATACCTCTACCAGACTGAAGCCCGAGCCTAGTTCTTTGTGTAACCCCCAATCAATCATCAAGAGGGTACAATTGTACTAAGCATACTAAAAAAATATTAACTAAAAGTCTAACTAAACTAAAAATAGTCTTCTACTAATAGTTCCCTATTCATAATATTTATTATTCCTTTGCATAACCCCCTTCACTCGATCTATTTTTTCTCCTCATACACTTTTTTAAGAAGTGTATGATTTTTTTTCTTACTCTTTTTCACCATGATTATTTACGTGTGTGTTTTGTTTACTCTAATCACATAAAACAAACATCATTGTTAGGATATCGATACAAAATTGGTAAAGCGCATGCCTAAATGCTAATTAAAATTAAGATAGTTGCAAACACCAACATACATTTTTCATACTAAATCGACTCGCGCAACTAACTAATGTTTTCAGTAATGAAATAAGTACTAAAATTAGCATAATGGCAAGCGGACCTTAGACAGTCGCAATAATTACTATACAGCGCTATAAAAATATGTATAATCTATTTATCTATAATTTCATAAAAATTTCAAATAGTTGCATATACTGCACTCCTAGAAATTCCACATTGATTATTTTTATTTCTGGACATTAGGATATAACCGTTCATACCCCATGAGGTCCCCCAAGAATTTTTAACTATCCAGTAATATTGACCATTAGAAACTCCGTATCCTACCACGAGAGCACTGTGATTTAATTGATCTGGATTGCAATTTTCATCGTCAAATACACCTAAAACAAATTTACCACTATTTATACTAATAAGTAGATAAATAAAAATATCACTTTAAGATGCTTTGTACTTAAAAATTTGAATGTTAACGATAATAAAGTACATAGGGGTTAAAGGGGTAGAATCCGAAAACATGGAGTTGCTTTCAGTTTACTGCACTTAGCCTCTTCCTAGCCAAATCCGACTCTCACTTTTACACTGGTACCCTCTGTTAAACCGAGCAAGCCAACTAGAGATCTGGCATCCAACCCGGGTGGAAAGTTGGACTGAAATCCAGACGACGACTCGGCGCGAAAAAGGACAATGATTTAGGATTATTCTCGTGGAATGTAAGATCTATAAACAGGACAGGAGCTTTGCAGTTTCTCATTAATAGTGTAGAAGTATGTAAAAACGGTATAATTGCACTTCAGGAAATGAGATGGTTGGGAAATAAGATATCAGAGAAAAATAATTATACGATATATTATAGCTGCCATCTAACGAAACACAAACTATGAACGGGATTTATAGTCAATGAAAGAGTAAAGCACCTTCTAATAGATTTCCAACCCCGCAACGAAAGATTATGCGCACTAAAAATCAGAGGTAATTTCTGTAAATATTTAATAATAAATGTCCATGCACCAACTGAGAAGAAGCCGGAAAGAAAAAGAACAATTTTATAAACAACTAGAAATTATCATACAACATTGTCCTAGAAATGACGTAAAGGTTTTATTATAATGCAAAGATAGTTAAGGAGAGGGAATACATGCCAACCATTGGAATTTACAATTTACATGAAGAGTCAAACAACAACAGAACTCGAATAATACACTTAGCCTCCTCAATGAACATGGTGATTGCCAGCACATGCTTCAGGCACAAAGATATACATTGTTGAATGCTGAAAACTACACGCAGATTCAAAGAAGAAGATTTAAAATTGGAAAAGATAAATGCTACGCAGAATGTATAAAGAAATCTGATAACGAAAGCTAGCGAAGAATAAATATTACCGATGTAATGGAAATGTAGACGAGTTCTTAGGTAACAGCTTAAAGAAAATTCATCGAATTAATCAATTATATAAAGAAAATACTTAAAAATAAGATATGTGGGTTATTTAGACAAAAAATATCAGACAAGTGTGCTGAAGATCACTTTAAGAATAGGAGTAATGGAAACGACAAGAAAAGTAAGATCCAGAAGACAATAGCTCATAGCAGTAAAGCTAAACTTTAGACATTGGTGTATTAAGGGATAGGATAAAAATATAAAAAAATCTCCACTCGAGGACCAGACCTGCAAGACCTCTATCGCTTTGATATAAATACACTCTATTTACCTGATACATAAAACTGGAAATTAGGAGTGACGTTAATAATAACAGAAACTGGTCCCTTAAGCGCAACTGCCTTCTGTAGTTCTAATTCATCATCCCGTTTAATATATGCAAAACTATTTATTTTGGCAGCAACTGTCGAAGCATTATATTTGCATGTATTATCCGAATTTATAGGATAATTATCTTCCGACATGATTCCTTTATCTTTTGCATAGTCAAAAGCTCTGGTTATCCAATCAGCATCACAGGAAGTAGTTTCTACACAGTCAGCTAGGTTTTTTTCACTAAGAGATATTAATGTGTCGGTGGATATAAAGTTGGAACCCTCTACTGCACCAGTCTAAAATAATAAATATCTATTGTACCATTTAAAGTTTGAATTAGTTAAAAATATAAACAAGAAACAGAGTTTTTTGTGGTATAAAATAAATAATTGAATTAATTTTATCTAAACTTTTTTCTTAAACCATTCATGGTTGAAAAACTTGAGAGAATGGTACAATTGCACCAATTACCAACTGTTTAGATCTGCAGCATCAAAAATACGCATAGCTTTGATGATAGCCAAACTTCGGAACGAAGACGGCACTTGAAGAAGAAAAAGAAGAAACTTTTTTCTGTAGATTATGTTGTCCAAGACAGATAAGGAATGTTTTTTTTTTAACCTATTCTCTATCCTTCCATTGTTGGATATAGGTCTCCCCAGATCTCTCCATCTTTCCCTATCTTGAGCTGTTCTCTGCCATGTGGGACCTCCTTGTTTCCTGATGTCATCTTTCCACCTCATCTGTGGTCTGCCTCTTGATCTCTTTGCATTGTATGGACGCCACTTTCCGATGGCATTGTTCCATCGTCCGTCTTGAAGACGTTCATTGTGTCCAGCCCATTTCCATTTCAGTTTTGCTGCTTGTTCTATCGCGTCTACTGTCTTTGTTCTGGTTCTGATCCACTGGTTACGTTTTCTATCCCTAAGTGATACACCCAACATTTGTCTTTCCATCGCTCTTTGTGCCTTCCTTATCCTATCCAAATTGGCCTGTGTAAATATCCATGTCTGTGCTCCGTAGGTGAGCAACGGTATGATACAGGAGTTATATACCTTGCTTCGTAAGTATAGAGGGATTGTTTGATTTTTTAGAACGTAAGAAAGTTTGCCGAACGCTGCCCATCCCATTCTTACTCGTCTCGATATTTCGGCTGTTTGATTTTCTCTATTAGCTCTGATTGCTTGTCCTAGATAGATATACTCATTTACCTGTTCTATTTTTTCTGTTTTTATTTTTATTGCCTCTTGGTCTTCCGTGTTTGTCATTACTTTTGTTGAAGTTAATTTTTAGGCCTTTTTGCAGTGATTTTTCATGAAGTTCATTCAGCATTAATTCCAGTTCTTGTCGTTCCGAGAAGATCAGGAGTATATCATCCGCATATCTAAGGTGATTTAGGTATTTTCCGTTAATACATATTCCTCTGTTTTCCCAATCTGTTGAATTTATTATGTCTTTGAGGGTCAAGGTAAACAGTTAAGGTGAAATTATATCGCCTTGTCGGACTCCTCGTTTATCTTTTATATTATCCGTTATTAATTTGTCGTCCAGAATTACGGTCATGGTTGCGTTTTGGTAAATATCATGTATCAATTGTCGGTATCTTGAATCTATTCTACTATTCTACTATTATAGGTAATGTACGTAACCCATTTATAGCCAGAATTATTCATGTCAACTGAACATTTTTAAGAAATTGCGGTAAAGTGACTTCACATACAGAGCAAAATTACTAACGTTTTGTAAGGTACAAATGGCTAGCCTGGAGCTAAAGTGGTCTATGTCGCATATGTATGAAAATTGAGATTTTGTTATATTTGACTTTAAAAGCTAGTAATCTATCAGTACTAAAGTGGTCTATGTCTAAATCTCAGTCAGAGTCCGTAAAATAACAATGTACCACTTTTACTTTTGGGAAAATTGAAATTTGTTAAAATTCGTAAGGGGTCTATGTAACACTATGCATCCTAGACCTATTGATTTCTACCAACGTAAAAATTCTAAATTCTAAAGTGGTCTATGAAGCACATTAATCAACAATTATTAATATAGCGGCAACACTGTGGCGCTAATGTCATTGGTACTAACCTCAAACCGGGAGGTTGCAGTTATTTAGTTAGTAGATCGGTTGTGTTAATGTGAAAAATGACTACAAATATTTCAATAAGGTCTCGTACACGCAGACTAGTGGAAGCTGCGAGACAATTTCATGACGAAACTGATTCAGAAGCTTATCCCGGTTCAAGTGAAGATGAGTACATACCTTCAAATAATGATGGCAGCGATTCTGATGCAAGAGATAGTAACACAAATACAAGTAAGTGCATGTTTAAATAAAATATTATAGTTTAGTAACCAATGAGGGAAGCAATTGATTTTAAAAAGAAAGTGATTGCAGTAACTAGTGGGAAAATCCACGTGCTGATGTTTTTACGTTAATCTGTTGATGCGCACTGTTGCCATATTTTTTATTTTTCAAAGAAATTAATATATTAAAACAAAATAAGCTACATTTTTGTTAAATTTGTCAGTCCCTAATGGGTATTTTAAGAGTTATTTTAAAACCATTATAACAGCTTAATTAAAACAAAGCTTTAACGCATCGTAACGTTACATAATGTTATTGTTTTAAGTACACATACTGAACTACCTCCTCTTGTTACAGATTCCGATGTTGAACATGAACCTGTGTTGTTGAATCAAAACATGGAAAATCTTGTGGAAATTCAAGAACCGGACGAAACTGAAGTAAGAAAAGGAAGAAAGAAAATGAAACAAGAGGCTTTATGGGGGAAATACGTCAGAAAGAGATGTAGAGCTTCAGGAGAGAAATACACTAGTATAAAAGGGAAAGTTATGGCCGCTAAAACGTTTTTTTACATTGAATGTAATTGTCGTCTAAAATGCAGTAATAGAGTGCCAGAGAATGTCCAGAGAGAGGTACATGACAGATTTTACAAACTACAGGATTGGAATGCTCAAACTAGCTGGTTGTGTGGTACAGTTAGAACTAAAGCACCTAAACATCCCCGAAAAAAAATACACCCAGAATCTGTGAGTCGTAAACAATATTCACGGATATTTCAACTAAATGGTCAGAAAGTGTTTAATTTTTTTTTAAAGTATTACAAATAAGTAATCATCGATTAGATTATGCACAAAGAGTAAAAAAAGCCGAAAATAGTGATATCCCTTCCCCCGATCGAAGAGGAAGAAAAGTTCCTGGAAATAAAATAAACGAGGAGAAATTGAAGTGGATTCGTGATCACATTAATAGTTTTCCTAAATTTAAGAGCCACTATGGAGAAAGAACCTCAAAGCGCCAATATTTTGCACCCTCTTTAAATATTTCCAAAATGTACGAACTGTTTAAATGTAAATTAATTATTGAAGGAAAACCAGTTCTTAAAAAAAGTATCTATGAAAAAATCTTTAGAACCGAATTTAATATTCATTTCTATATACCTAAAAAAGATACTTGCAAATTTTGCGATGCATTTCAAATAAGTTTAAATGCCGAAAGTAATAAAGAAAAATCAGAACAAGTAAAAATAGAAAGGGACCAGCATATTGCTCTGGCTCAAAAACCTAGGAAACTTCTGAAAGATTACAAAAACGAGTGTGTGAAGCCGGACAGTACAGGTGTATTAATTACATTTGATTTGGAAAGAACACTTCCCTTACCTCACACAAATACCGGTGAGGTGTATTACTTAAGGCAGATGCATATGTTAAACTTAGGAATTCATACTTATGAAAGTGGTGGAGAAAACGTTTTTATGAACATGTGGTATGAGACCAAAGGGGCTAGAGGTTCTCAAGAAGTGATAAGTTGTTTATATCACTATTTTAAAAATGACATTCCTCCTCATGCTACAAAACTTGTTCTCTTTAGTGACTTGTGGGGGACAAAATCGGAACTGGAATTTGTTACATTTTCTTATGTACATGGTTAACGTTTTACCGAACATTCAAGATATCTATGTAAATTATCTGGTTACCGGTCACACATATTTACCAAACGATGGCGATTTTTCATTTATTAGTAGGGCACAGAATTTAACCCCAGTGTACACTCCTGAAGCATGGATGAAATTAATTTCAAATTGTCGAAAGCGCCACCCATTTCGTGTAAAAAACATGGTGGATAAGTTTGTGTCATTCGACAAGTTGAAGATTTTTAAGTCACCTCATGCCATGCATTTTAAGTCAAGTCATGCCTCATGAGTTCTGGCGTCATGATTTCTCAAATACGCAGAATTAAGTTCTCCAAAGATACATCGGTAATGTTTTTCAATGATGATTACTCGGATACTTATAATGCTATAGATCTAAATAAAATGAATTCTTTTCAAGAATTTGCACAGGTAATAAAAAACTTTTCCCCGGAGGTTGCCGCAGATATTAGACCCTTATCTTTTAATAAAATGAAAGATATACAAAAAATGCTACAATTTGTACCTCCTGTGCATCATCCATTTTATCTTTCTTTACCCCATTACAATTGCAGAGGTGATAGGGACGATAATGAAGACATACTACCACCATTTCGAGGTGAAGACTTGAATGAATAAGTTTACTTAACTATTTTTAATAATTCTAAAATGGTCTATGTTACATTTTTAAATAAAAAAAATTAACAAAATGAAGTTCAGTTATCAGTAAGGATTTTTTTATGTTTGTAAGATTTTTGGTAACCGTATTTAAACTTTTGTACAAAAATTTTGGTTTTAGTTCCTGTACCAACCGATTTATACATTAAAATGGATTTTTTTAATTTTCTCGAAAAAGTGGTTTTGTTACTTAGACCACTTTAGTTCCAGGCTAGCCAAATACAAGTTGAGTCATAAAAGATCCTTTGGCTATATATAATAAAAATATTAACTTTTGTAAATATTAATTATTATCAAATCAGTCATTTAGCGGCTCCTGACTATTAAAAGAGGCGGTGCACAAAAATAAACAAATTTACCGGTGTATCCTTGATAAAAAAGGATTTTTTTTCGGTTTTTAAACACACATTTATTAAAATTATCATTTATGTATAATTAGATTACCGCATGGATAAATAATTATGAAAATAAGGCAAGGAATAACGGTATTATATCATAACAAACCGCCTACAAAAAGAATCATCATCATCAATCATCCAATCGCGTCCACTGCTGGACATAGCCTCCCTCAGTTCTTTCCAGTGTTCTCTACACTGGGCCGCTTGTAGCCAGTTTCCCGTTACACGTTTTATATCATCGGTCCATCTAGTCGGTAGTCGTCCTCGGCTTCTTGTATAGTTTCT